CTCTCTCTCTCTCTCTCTCTCTCTCTCTCTCTCTCTCTCTCTCCCTTTCTTCCTCCGCAGATCCCCGGCTACCCCGGAACCTTCGTTACCAAAATACACACGATGGTAGTTTCCGGTTTCGTTTTTCTTGTTGCGCGACTGCGACGGCGGAGACGACGGAGATTCTCTCGACGGCAAAGAAACTCGTCGCAGTGACTCTCAAATTTTTTTTTTCGCGTGAAACATCGGCTTATCGATGGCTGGGTTAATCGGGAGATAACTATGTGCGAGAACATTACTCGATTTCTCTTCGGAGAATATCCGGAGGACCCCCAATTGCGATTAGATACTCGGATGTGGAGAGAGAGGAACATTGAGATACGCGACGACAAAATTCAAGTCCGTCGCGCCACGGTGGAGGATGTCCAGTATTTTTGCGCGTTCACCATGAGCAAATGAGACACTCGCGGGAAAGAAAACCGTCAGCTATGCCACGGAATATTTAAATCGCTTCAACGTGCTCTTTACTCCCCTGCTTAAATACTCTATACATATTCATCCTGTGTATTTAATTTTACCGTTTATTCAAGAGACGCATGTCCACTAGATACATAATCCCTAATGTAATCGCGGGGGAAAAAATCTCGCCCGGACGTCTGCGAGCACGTCAAACATTCAAACATCGGGATAAAATCGACTGTTTATTAAAATGGCGGCGGAATGAACGAGAGAGAGAGAGAGAGAGAGAGAGAGAAAGAATCACAAGTTTAAAAGAGATGATTTGCGATGTGTTCGGCGAGCAGAGCTCAAAGGAGCCAAATGTCACAAGCACACAGCCAACGACGATTCATAGTGAAGAATGAATTAATGTGACGCGACTGCGCGAGGACCCGTTATCCCGAGCGAAGCCGGTCGTGTAAGCGCCGGGAATGCGATATACCTGCGTGGCGAATAACGCCGCGAAGGTTAATTATGTAAAAAGGAGCGCGCGCGAGTGCGGTTACTTCACTCTGAGCTTACGCTGCCTATATCCTGCGGTCTATAAATACGAACTTTACGCGAGCGTCGTGCAATTACGCGTGGCGCAAAAGAAAGAAAGAGAAATTAACGCGCGTCTGCGATCTGTACAGATCAACGAAACAGCGCGCGCACCGAAGAAATTGTTTTTGTATCTGGAACTAGAATACTCGATGCATACGATTTATTTGGCATCAGCATGTTTTTTACTTGTGTCAAGTGGAACATATTAGTGAGAGAGCTAAACACACAAGAGACACATTTATTTATCTTCACAGACATTACCAAACATTTGCTGCTGATACTATTTGTAAAAACAAACCACATTTTGGTCTGATGATACCAAATTCTCGTTTCGAGGACAAAATCCTTCCTACCGTGCGAGTTACTCGAATGTTTATATCGAAGTGGAATAAAAATGCGTCATACGAAAAATACAAGCGAAATTAGAGGAAACACTTCGTGGATATTTAAATCACTCAAACAAAAATCACATCTCTCACACGTGTGAGAGAAAATAAAAATTAAAAGTGACTCTACACATAATGAAATTTAATTCTACATAGAGAGACTACTTTACATGGAATGAATGTCAATTTTGCGCAACGGAAATGGATCTTTTCCCGTAAATGCGCACGTTGTGTTTATTCGCACAACACGCTTCTAATAACCAGTTAATATAATTAAATCTCTTTATCCGCAAGAGCTACAAAGCGTATTTATTATTCCCCCAAGTGTAAATACGTTTTCAACGTGAATGCAAATTTATTCGCGAAGCGGAAAGCCGATGTTACAATGTATCGAGAAAAATTCAATCTTTCTCTCTGTCTCTGCCTCTTTCTCTGTGTTTCTTTCTCTCTTCCTCTTCCTCGCTCCCAAAGATTTCAGCGCGCTGAAAACATCGCAGGGATTAACGCGTCCGCGCGCGGCGAAAGAAAAGATGGAAATTCCAGCCACGAGAGGGGTTCGTTACCCAAAATACACACGTGCGGGACTCACAATCTCGTTTCCCCCGTTTCGCGTTTTTCTTTTTTCTTCCTTTAGGTCGGTGACTTCGCGACGGGATTAAATTATTTTTAACTAACGCCGCGCGGCGGTCGCGCCTGTTAATTACGTATGTCGGGAATCTGCGCATGTTACCCTCTTACGAGTTAATTTCATCGCGTCGCTGAAAGGCTCGCATAAGTGAGATAATTCGCGGAAACTGGAATGGAAAACGCGATCGGGCAACTGGTCGAACGCCTGTTTTATTTGATACTTTCAAGTTGACTTGATATCTTCAAGTTGATATTTTCAAACCGAAAGGATTACGTATCGTGAGGGAAGTTTTATTATCGGGAAAAACTCGGACTTAAGAGGGGAAATTTCCCGGGGGAACGATCCTCGCGAAGCGATTTTTTGACAAATGCCTACGACTATTCACGGTTAACTCAAGGGAGGTTTGTGAGAAATGAACGTTTTAGAAGCGACGACCATCTTACTTTATCCGCTGCACGTCGCCCTTGAAACACCGCCAATATGCGGTCGCTCGCTCTAACTCACTTTTACGCGGAAACGCTGTTACTTTCAGCCGAATCGATAAGTCGAC